TAAACACTTCCAAAAAACCAACATGTATGTTCAACGTAGAAAAGTCGTTAACCAGCGCGTGTCCGACGAAAATGCAACCTCTTTCGATCAGGTGTAATACCTTCATGTAGACGCGTTTCAACGTTGTAAGATGCTTCGTCGACTTGCTGGGATCAAGATCATCTTCCATTATTCCACTGAAAAGAAAATTATTGTATTAACTAACACTGCCGAAAAATTCCCACTGATACACTATTGAGCTGTTCCGTGAGCAAATCAAGTAATACGATCGCAATTTACCGTGATATCTAGAGATTGAAAAAAGCAAGCCCTGCGTTCGGAAATGGCAATTTGTGCGGCTCAAGCTTTGATGATAAGATGGTAAGTATCAAGAAAGTCGCATTTAAAAACCCGCCTCGAGGAAAACCCATGGGGCACCCACGACAAACCGCACTTCGTGCGGACCATCAATGAGGGGAAGGAAATGAAGGGAAAGTAAATTCCCATGTATGAATTTTTTCGTGGTTGCCGGTGTCGCATTCTACTTCCACTTAGAATTGTAGTTGCCTTATTAATGCGATGCGGCCTACACAATGACTTGCGGGGCGCAGCCGATGTACAAGTCAGTGCTTTTTATCCTCCCAACGAATCTGGTAGCAATTCACAGTGCCGACGAGGAGTGATGCGAATGTTAAAGACAGCCCCCGCGCTCAAGTAGTACATGGTCGTCCTTCCTTGGGCCAGGTAGTTCAGCCCCCAAGCTAGATACTGTCTCACTCTTGCGACTACTCAGCGAGCGAGGGAGCGAGCTAGAACCGCTCAAAGTTCTAGTTCTAACGCCTGCTCAGTTGGACCGCCTCACTAGCTAGCTGCCCTCTGACGGAGAGCCGCTCAGTTGTTCCTTGTTGGGACGGCAGTCATTAATCGGAACTGCATGTATTTTTTGCACCGGCGTCGTGCTGTCTCGTGAATATTCTGCTCTCCTTCATCACATTTTATTCATTGGGAGCACGTACAGTCAACAGCAACCCATCTCGTAAGGTAAAACGCGTAAAAATCACGAATGATGCAATTTTCTGTGGTGCAAAAGCTCGACGCACTTCACTACACTAAAACATGCTCGCTACCGTAACCCTAAGTTCGGACGCCGGCTTTTTAAATGTTTCCTTTTCTTTTCAAGAGTTTTCCTCTATGTTTCTGTTGTTTTTTGTTTTCTTTTCTTCGCATTCGATGATATCCACTACTGGGAGATGTGACAAAGTGATTTGTGAGCCAGGGCTTGCACAGAGACCGCAGGGAGGTGTGACTGTCAGGGCGCGATTATTGTTTTTATGGTGTTCTTGAGGGCTTGTTTCTTTTTTCCTTCATTGAGGAATTACTTATCAGCTACTGTTTCATAATTGATCAGCAATTATCCTTGACACTTTTATCGCGGGAGCTGTCTTTAATATCACCGTGCCCCTGAGCATGGCAATACTTGGTTGCCTGGGCGGAAGTCGACCCGGCATTGAAACCCAGGACCGCGCGAGTGATAAGCGCGCCACATGTCACTAAACCACCTCCGCCTCTTGTACGAGCATTTAGGCGAAAAAAGGGCGCATAGCACCTCGAACCAGTCCTCTTCGTCGGGCCAGCCTCTTCTCCACTCAATCCAGCCTCACTCGCTCCCACTACTCTGGAAATTGCATAGACGCCTACTGCGCAACAACCACCAAATCATCAGGTTGAAATTGAAAGTCTGGATCGCCTCGCGCAGCGGGCGATGTGCGGAGCCGTGGCGTGCCTCGAACCGTCTAGCCCTGCGGAAGTAGTACATCCTTCACGCTTGCGGATAGGACTACTATGTTCAAAAAAGCGTCTGAACGCGGATGTTGTCATTGTCTGAACCGCGTGGAAACAGCACGTGGACAACTGTAGCGACAACAACAAAGAAGCAAAAGAAAACAGAAAATGATAAATAAAAAATAATCCATGAAATGGTAGTAATACCTGTATTGGGTGAGATAATCGTCGACAACATCGCCTTCACAAGTAATCACGTAGTCATCGATGAGAATCTGATCTCCCGTAGAATTGACGCAACTCACTCTTCCCACTGATTTTCGTCCATGTTCCTAAAAAGGGCAAATATGAAATGAGTCCACTTCATGTGAGGCAGCGTTTCAGACTTACAGTGCACTTCTCAGCGGACGGTGGCACGCGTCCTAAGCGCCACGCCTGGTACGGCCCGATAATGACCTATTGGGGAAGGATTCAAAAAAACCTTACCTATGCTCCCTCTTACTCTACACTCTGTTGCTCTAACACACGCCGCCGCACCGTCTACCCACTCTTCCGCTCTGGACTCTTACCGATCGATAATTTCTCTCGATCAGCTGATTCCTGCCGCATTCTCGCAGTATTTTTGCTATATTCAGCTTGTAAAAGCTGAAACATCCGGTTTCAATCTCAATTTTCAGATGGCAAATGCGAAATTTCAAGAGTTGAGGATAGCAGTCCAAAATGAAATAAGAAAAAAGTACACGACCCACAGCTTTCACGAAAATATAGGAAAGGGGCCATGAGGCGACTTTCGAGCTCCAGACATAGTCAGAGATATTCTCTGATAATAAACGAGATCACATCTGAGACACGGCTCGAACTCGACCGTCAATAACATAATAATAAATGGATATTAAGAAAAAAGATATGGAAATATTGCAAAAATCGCAGAAGAAAAAGCAAGTTTTTCTAGGGACATTCATGATAAATTCAGAAAATGTGGAACCGTTCCAAGTTAGAATATCACCTTCGCAACATTTGAAGTCACAGACTCCAAAATCATTTCACGTTTAACAAACTGGAATCTAGCTAAAATACTGACGAACAATGCCGGCAGGAATCAGCTGATCTAGAGCTCGCAGCCAACTACTCGATCGGGTAAGAGTATTAGAGCCGAAGCAGTGGCGATGACTGTTCGGATGTTACGTAAATACACGAAGGGTAGCCGTGTAATTGCACAATGCGGGCAATTACCGTAATCCAAGAACTGTTTTCATTCGCCCAGGAGCGCATTATGGCAACCTATGTTGGTCATTACGTAGGCAAATAATGACCAACATAGTGTACCTCAAATATTGAATGGATCCTACGCTACAATCGCTTCCAAGGAACCACTCCATGCTTCTTCGCTTGTGAAAAACGGCGATAGTTTGTGCCGAATATTTCACTCGGCCAGTGCGCGCCTAATGAAAGTATTGTTTTAACAAGTATCTGATCAGCCGTTTCACTGACATCATAGGGTATCCTACTTGTCTTCATGGATTGTTAAAACAAGGCAACGGATGAAATGCATACTTGTGAACCAATGACCTCACTTCCGGCACCTGTGTCGTTGCGCACTGTTTGTTCTTGGAGGGTTATACATGATTTTCACTCCAATTCATTTTGTATATATTGGATGGGAGAAGGCACTTGAATTCTCCTCCGCTACTATGAGGTATCAGCCTGGAACAGACCTACAGTCTTGCGGCGCTCTCCTCATCTTGCGAGGTCTCGATTTCCTGTGTGGTCTTCAGTCTTGGCATGCCGATTTACCTCCTAGCGGCTCCAGCTAGAAAGAAGAAGTGCATCACTCCGTGAGGACACCCATTTCAGGATGCTGCCTTTCTCTCTCGCTGTCAGTCACAGATGTGCGGAACGCCGCGTCCACAGCCGTCTAGGAGTAGTGAAAGGGATAGTTGAGGAGACATCATGAAAATGCGCCGTGTGCGACCGCACCGTACAACTGCCAAAGCCTAGAATTAAGCTGGCTTGATGTGAGGTGTAGGGCAGCTCTGAGGTGCCGTAGCACGCACCGCAATCTCACGATGCTCAACCAGCTGTGCTAACCTCCTGCCATAATCTCCACTCTTGGACCCTGTTGTGCGCTGGGGTTCGCCATCTATATACTTCAAAGATCGCTAGTGTTCGCTGGCCACGTTGGTGGAGCTAGTGGTCGCTGGTGATTGAATAGATCGTAGACTTGCATGCTTCAAGGAAGTTTCGAACTACGCCTAGAGACCTACTTTTATACAAATCGAAGACGCAACTTCAACTTCGAAAACTGCGCAGGAAAGGATAAATTGCTCCAAAAATTGCAGAGAGACGAGAAGCATTGGTCATTTTTCGATCTACTCCCGAAATCCTGTACATCTTCGAACTAATGAGCTTAATTCGTTTCGTCAACCCAACAATTCATTATTTCTTCAATTCTTCACCGATAAGTGAAAAGAGCCGTACCGACAGTTACCAAAGTAGAAGCAGTACGGAATGTTTCCTTGAAAGCTATCATTTGATCAGAAACCCCTTAATACACGACTAAATGACCAACCTTATAACCACCTCAGTTGCACTCCCATGCGACAAGCAAAACACTTTTTGGGGTTACGGCCTTAATCGCCCTCGGTAGCGATGCCAATTACACGAGTACCTTCGTGTATTTACGTAAACATCGACTTGCGGCGCTTTGGTAGAGCGCAGAGTGCAGAGTAAGAGACGGAGAGGCAATGATGATAATCTCCCGAAAATTTTCGGCTTCCCATAGACACGCAATCACCGGAACGCTCGCGGTGCGTCGTAACAGGAACCCCCACCCTTCCCGGTGATCGCTCCACTGTATCAACTGCCCTTCCAGTTGTCGCTGTCGCTTGTAAACTGAACTCGCTATTTAAACTATAAAGTTTAGGTTTGTCAGGCGGTGTACCAGCTACGCGCAAATTGCGCGTCAGGGCAACTTATGGTGTTGTTCGCGGGAAAGCACAAAACGGGGCCCGAGTTGTGTGGACCACTTAAAATTTAACGTGGGGTACGCGCGCCTTGCGGCTCGACGTTCATGAAAATTACATCAGCATTGAACAGTAGTATGTAAACGCCACCTCAAACTTGATCCGGGATAACTTAAACTGACTACGGTTATTGCGGCCCGACTGTGCATCATCTGTCGTCGTCACCGACACAACATTTTTAACTTCACGCGCAATTTGCGGGGTACTGTACACAGCCTGACAACCTGAAGTTTGAACTCGCTACACGTTACAAGGGCGCACCAATTGTACCAGACCCAGCTTCCCTTTATGTTCTTTCTTCCGGTATTCAACCCCTTTTTCACTGTTTCTCATTTCTACCTGATTCTTAGCTCCTCTTTTTCACTTTGACATTGAATTTTAATGTAGTTTTTGATACAGGACACTGTGGTAATGATTTTGTATACCGTTACAAAAAAAATCGTCAAAAACGTCAAAAACTCAAGAAAATTCAGAAGGTCGTCAAAATCGTCAAAAAATACGTTAAAATTCAAAGTGAAAAAGAGGAGCTAAGAATCAGGTAGAAATGAGAAACGTGTGAAAAAGGATTGAATACCGAAAGAAAGAACATAAAGGGAAGCTGGGGTCTGGTACAATTGGAGGGCGCTTGTACTTGTAGCGTGTTCAATTACAAGCGATAGCGACAATCGAAGCGCGACAAGTCTGATCGTTGCCTAAGAGCGCGTTCAGACTTCGCGATCGCGCGATCGGATCGCTCAAATCGCGCGATCGGATCGCGCTAATCGCGCGATCGGATCGCGCTACTGGGATGGGTGAAATTCACACGGGGGGGTCATGTTTGTTCATGTTTATTGTTCCTGTTCTCTTTTAAATAAACAAATAAACATGAACAATAAACATGAACAAACATGACCCCCTCCCGGTGTGAATTTCACCCATCCCAGTAGCGCGATCGGATCGCGCGATCGCGAAGTCTGAACGCGCTCTAACGGTTGAACCACCATGATATGAGCTTACATTGCCAACACTAATGAATTCCGCGTCAATTCCGACATATTCGCCTTCCCCAGGAATTTCTAACGTCCTTCGCTCGCGTGCCACTTCCTCGTTACCCGTTAGATTGGCATCCGTTTGGAAAACCGAGCACGGGATTGGTAACCGAGTCTCAGTTACTGAGTAAAAACATTAAATTCGAGCGAGAACCACACAGTATTGTTTCGACAGACCGCAAGCTGTACGAACCTTTCATAAAACCTGATTTCTCGTTCGCATAGCAGAGAATCAATGGTAACTTCCAACGGGAATCCATGTGCAGTGCTTCATCTTCATGGACACGAGTTACCAGCACATCATCAAACAGGCACCAAGGAAGCTTCCTGAAGTGGTGCATTTTTGGGAATGAAGAAAGTTTGGGCTCCCTCTTTTCAGGACGGAAAACCGGTCCCCCGACTTTTGGGCTTATGCACTGTGCAATACCTGCTACATATTCAGCGATGAAACGTATGATGCCGTTCGGCTTGGGAGGGGAAGGTGGGCATTTCACACATTCTTTACTTCCCGTAGAAGTGTTCATTACTTCACAAGAACTGACATGCATTTTCTACAAGATTAGACAAGAAGACTTCACAATTTCGGCTTTAGAAGATTTTGTCGGTAGTAGGGCAGTAGCGAAAATGCAGAACGCCTCCCCCAAGCTGAACTGCTCCCGTTCTCTTGATCGAACTTACGAGTCTACATCGTCCTTGATAAGTGTTACCGAATGAGTCCATTGTCCATTACCATTACCAATAGCTGCAACTATTCCTACCAACTCGTAGCGATCATATTCGCCTTCCATTGACTTTTCGCTCAAAATTGCCAACCCATTGGCCACCTACATGAAGAAACTGACAAGCTCAGGACGAACTTTTAGACTTTTCCACATACCATATCCATTTCTCTTTTCTTGATACCACGCTTACCACGAAAAAGACCAATAAAGCAAACCATACCCTGGCGTTGAACTTCGGTGCAACAAAATGTTTCCAGTCACCACATCCCGTATCTTCCAGCCACGAAGAGCACTCCAGATCCCAATCGTCAGTGCCATGCGAGTATTTACAATATGATCTAAGAGATACCTTATTCAGCAAGGAGGCCAAGAAAAATCATTGAAACTAAAAACGTAAGTGAAGTGAAAGGGACAAATGGGCAGTTAAAGATGACATTTTTGCAATGGGTGAAGGCGATAGCGTAGCGAGCGGCGCCGTAAACCTCGCACCCGGTCGACGATCAAACTGTGATCCAATTCCATAGTGCACGTTTTCAGAATCTGTGTATGGAAAAACCGAGGAAAAGCATAATTCAGAAAAACGTCTCTCTTAAAATTTCTACAGGTGTTTTACAAATTTTCCACCGTTTCACGCTATACGTCCACCTTTGATATACGGCTCTAAAAATTTTCCCGTTTCAACGTGGTGATATATTCTTATCAAAATAGACGAGAACATGTCTCACTGTGATGCCACGCGGTTCTCGTCTGTCTTCGGAAGAAAAGGCCCAAATTCGGGCCCTACACCAGGCCGGACTCAGCAATCGGCGGATTGCCAAGGAAATTGGCAGGTCTCACTGCGTCGTCTGCTCCTACCTCAGAAATCCTGAGACTTACGGCAGTGGTGGAGCTAACAAACACCAACGAAAACTGTCCGCCAGGGAAGAACGGCAAATATGGAAGAAAGCATCCAACAGCACGTTGAGCGTCAACCAAATTCGTGCGGAATTGAAGCTTTCTGCTTCGAAGTCGACAGTCTGGAGGGCTATTAGACGCAACAGCAACATAGTGAGAGATGTTATGCAGAAGCCTTAACTTATGCAGAAGGCGCCACGACTTACTTGCGCTCACAAGTCGGCTCGTCTCGATTTTGCTAGGAAGAACATCACAACGGACTGGAAGCAGGTGTGGTGATAAAAGGAAACGCTATCTCTTATTGTAGTGCAACCAGTAAAGAGGAACTTGTGTTCAGGTAATCTTTTCTGACGAGAAGAAGTTCAATCTGGACGGGCCAGACGGCGCTAGATGTTACTGGCGTGATTTGAGGAAAGATCCTATGCGGTTCAGCCGACGTAACTTCGGTGGCGGTTCTCTTATGGTTTGGGGAGCCTACTGCTGGGACAGAAAGCTGGAACTAGCATTCATCTCCTGCCGAATGGACTCGCGTGAATATCAGGAAGTACTTGAGTCCAACTTGTTGCCTTTCCTCCGTCGCTGGCGAAGAGGAAAACCGATTTTCCAGCAGGATAATGCAAGTGTCCACGCGAGCAGGTCAACATCGGAGTGGTTTCAGCAGCATAGAGTTGACGTTATGGAGTGGCCCGCGTGTAGCCCTGATCTCAACCCTATGGAGAACCTCTGGGGCATCATTGCTCGAAAGGTTTATGAAAACTGTAGGCAGTTTGAGACCATCAACGAGCTGAGATGTGCAGTCATCGACGCGTGGAAGAACATTGACGCCTCAGTGCTCCAGAACCTATCAGCAAGCATGCCTCATCGACTCATGGAGCTGGCTTCCAAACAAGGAGCACCGATTGATTACTGATTTTGCTGTTGTTGTCTTGTTGAACATAGAAATAAACTGTTGATGAGAGTGGACGTATAGCCTGAAACGGCCGAAAATCGGTTATATGCCTATAAAAAATTCCATGGGAGATCTAACTTACTGAACACCTGCTTTCCAGTGTTTTTTTATACGACGAATCTCACAGTGTACACAACAATACTCCACCATCGCTTCAAGAAATGTTTTCAGTAAATTGATGGGTGGACGTATACTGGTGAAACGCACTGTAGTAGACACGATCACTTTGCTGCATATTTCCCCTCAGGGGCCGAATGCGCAGTTGATTTTGTTATAATCGAGTCGCTTAATCAGTACAAAATTGTTTGGGAGGAAAAACAACTTGTACAAGTGGGGTGGGGAAGGAGGCGGGAGTACTGGGTCTGGCAAGGTTCAAACCTGTTCTTCACCAACTATGGCAGCTGGTAGGCGATCACAGTTGGTGCAAAACGGATGGATGCCGCGCTTAACCCAGCCCTCTA